GTGCTTTTGGTATTTCTTTTTCCTCCGTTCTCGTTTCTTGTCTGTAGCTGTTTTCTCAGCAGCTGTTTTTATATCTCCAGCTTTATTTTTCTCCTATTAAAAAAATAACCACCAACAGACTACTGTTAACTCAGAAAACTGGAATAGAAGAAAGGGCACTGCAGGCAGCCAGTGGGCTGTAGCCTATGGTGAAGCGAGTGAGGAAGCAGATAGCAACCCCATCTGCACTCCAAAGAGCTGTGGTAACTCAGCTCTTTACAACCTGGAATGCTTTTTTGACAGCACAGACTTGCAGTGTAGAAAGCTGGGTCCTCAAGCTGACAGCACCACGGAAGCCCTCTATAGCATTCAGACTACAGCGTGGCCTTCAGGGACATGCCAGAGACCAGGGAACACAGGGAAAGAAGGCGAACACTGCTCCAGGAGAGTCAACTTTCTCTCTTTTCTCCTTAGCTGCCAGGTACCCTGCCAGGGCAGTCACCTGCTCTGAGAGGGCAGAGATCTGACACCAGGGTGGATGCAGATGTAGCAACGCAAGGGAGGAGGAAAAACAGCCCCCTGCTGCTGTACCAGACAGCAGGCCAGGGCCTGGCAGAAACCACTATTACTGCAAAAGGCAGGGAACTTGCATTTGATAGAACCAACTTCTTCCAGTATCCTAATGCTCTATCTATTCTAGATTCCTTTTTTTTTTCTTTTGAGACAGAATCTTGCTTTGTCACCCCAGCTAGAGTACAACGGCATCACCATAGCTCACTGCAACCTCAAACCCTGGGATCAAGCAATACTCCTGCCATAGCTTCCAAAATAGCTGGGACTATAGGCACCCACCACAACACCTGGTTAGTTTTTCTATTTTTAGTTTTCTGTTCTTTGCTCAGGTTGTTCTTGAACTCCTGAGCTCAAGTAACCCTCCTATCTCAGCCTCCCAGAATATTAGGATTATAGCCATAAGCCAGACACCTGGCCTCTAAATTCTGTTACTCATAAGTATTACAGATAAAATTGGGGGGGAAATGCTGATATTAGATACTGCTAGCATATATGTAATAGGAGCAATTCATTTTAAACCTAACATCACTACTACTATTCAGATTGAATTATAACAAGATACTGACACTGAATGTTTAAAACCTGTTCTTATGACAATTCTCAAACCCTTATCTCATAATAACACCTAAGTATAATCAACTAACTTATAAACACACACCTAATGTTTCAGCACTGGCTTCTTACCTTGATCTCCTCCGGGGCCAGCAGAGTTGCATCGCTAACACTCACGGGGGCCACTTCCTCCATGGTGATGGCTGGTAGATTTGACATAACCTTA